CTGGTATTTTCCTCTCTTTGCAGTCGAAGTGATCGTTTGTTTATCCTCTGTGTCGGTTGAGTGAAAAAAACCGGTTTTTTCTCGTTAGAATAGAAAATTGCGTGATACACGAATCTAACGAATCGACTCACGAACCCGAAGGAGGTCGAGAAATCATCGAGAATCTCGAGAATGAGAAATGGGAGAGCTCGAGCTAACCCGAAAACATTTCCCTATATTTAAGATCAAAAACTGAAAGCCGAAGATATTACGGAAATTAATGACGTGTTTTGAAAACAGCTCAAAATTTGCGCCGTTTTTTGCTCACTGCGTTTGTCCTCTTGAATATGAAGGCTCTCATATAACGGTCTATTATAAAAGTAAGTTTTTGAATGACTAAATACACTCTTGTTGGAAGTATTTTAGCTAGAGGATAAGCTTAAACTTTTCTTTCCAACATATGTTTTTACCAAGATTTTTATCATAAACACTTTTAGGCAAATATGTTGTGTCTCATATTTACGGTAAATGACTTTGTTTCCCTGTTTCCTTGACCGAAGTTATCCACTTTGAGTTTGTTATTTATGATATTACATTTCCTTTCATAGAGACCTCTTAATATGGGGCATCACACAAAAAGTGGAGACTGGGATCAAACGATGTCTTTCAAATGCTGTTTTTCAAAGTAAGTTTTCTTTATAACAACTGTAAGTAAGTACTTAAATATTTTTGAAAGATTAAATGTTGCTTTCATTGACAATCAATGTAAAGGCAATGAAGAAAATGTTTAGATTTTCTTTCGTCAATTCATCATGACTAAAGTGATCACCATCTACAAAAACAGCAATAAAAAATTGGCTGAACACAAGAATAGATGAATCATTTGCATGATGCACACACAGCAAATCAACTCTCTCTGTTTGTTCGTTGTTGTTGTTGTTGTTGTTGCTTTTTTTTACACATGACATAAGCCATAAAAATAGAGATTACAATGAAATTGGGAATCAACAATTAGCCCTTTCAAGTAATAATAGATTTCATCTATTTTATTTGACAGAATATGACAGCCCCATGGTTCATCTACAGAGGTACTTTTTACACTTTGTAAGATCAAGAGATTGAAAATTAAAAAAGAGGTCTAAGATTTAAGTATGTATAATGACAATGTTCATCATTTCACTACTGAATACAAGAGTTTTAATCCTCAAATTTTAAATATGATAAAATTAAGATGTGTACTTTTTGAACAGTGAAGAGTCAAAATGAGAAAATTATAGCATGCCTTCTTGTTATATAAAGAACAGCATAATTGTGCTTGTAAACAAKAAACTCACATTTAAGTATCCCTTCAGGACTTTTCCATATTTCTAGTCCCAAACATTTTTTGTCATAACATGTTGGTAATTTTTAGTGAAATATAACAAGCAATAATCTGAGTCAATTGTCATGTAAGTACTGTAAGTAGTTCTTAGTTCTTATTATCCTTTCATTTTTTTTCAGTGGAAATTGTCCAGAATGTCAACTATTGCAACAGCCTCAGAGAAAACTTAGGAATTACATCATATGTTATCCGTTAATTCAAATAATTTTTTAGCATCAATGATATTTCTTATTTAAAGTATATCAAGAATATTAAAATATTGAGAAGAATCAGATTACAGCTTGTCTTTTAGCGCCTCTGCTGCGTTTGTTGCAACGCTTTATGGAATTTCATGCCCAGCATGAAAATGGCCACAAGGCATCATGGGATGTCATGCCCAGCATGAAAATGGCCACAACGCTTTATGGGATTTCATGCCCAGCATGAAAACGGTTGCAATGCTTTATGGGACTTCATGCCCAGCATGAAAACGGTTGCAACGCTTTATGGGACTTCATGCCCAGCATGAAAACGGTTGCAACGCTTTATGGGA